AAATCTGAAATTTCGATACGATCAAGCCAATGGAATTACTCCAAAATTCGTCCATTTGATTATGTTTTGCTCCAGAGGAAGTCGAAAGTCCTATATTGGAAATATAATTCAAAGTATCAAAATTCTTCCAAAATGTTAACCAAAATATACTAAGAATGGAGTTAAATATATAATATAAAATATACCCATCAAAATACCTCCAAACTTAGCTTTTTGCTTGTCCTCAAGCGAAACAAATCTAGAAAACAAACACAAAAATTAACGAACTAAAAACTTTGAATAAAACCTAGCTAAACAAAATTTTCATTCAAGTTGCAATCCATAGCAAATTTTAAAAATTAGAACATCTGTTCACTAGATCCAACTAATCCCACCACAGAGTCTAAGCTATTTAGAATCAATTAGAAAAGAATTCACAAACTTCATTCAGTGTAAAGTGAACCATCATAGTTAAGGAGACTCAACTAAAACCCTTACCCCTAATCCCTTTTATTCATACTTCACACACTTATAGAATCATTCTTTTTTTTTTAATTTTTTTTTTCCAGTAACAGTGGTGGTTGTGCAATGTTGGTTCCCTTAAGCTTTCGATCCAACCCATGTCGCGAGCTTTAGGTCAATGACTACCAAACCACTAAGGCTTTACGGCACTAGGTGTAGAACACCCCTAAGGACTTATTAACTCAAGCTAAAAAGGCTACAAAACCAACTCACCACCCTGCCTCATGCCAAAACTCTACCGTTTGACTCAAGAATTACTGCTGATTAGGCAAGACTGGCCCGGTTACTAACAAAGCTTCGGGTAAGGCAATTATTACTTTATAACACATACTAACTTTTTTTTTTTTTGTGGAACAAAAAATAAAACACACTGGGACAAAAAGTAAGTATTTCAATCTCACTCCCCACAAATCATGTTGGTGTGATGTGCAAATTTCAAAGTATAATTCATGAATTAGCGTCTAAGCAACGATAAATAGAAAAGACTCCAATGTGGGATTGATCTTCACCATGTCCATTTGTTTTAACGTTTAAAATAATCTATGGATATTAACTTAAAAACGAAAATTTTAAACAAGACTAAAAAAAATAAAAAATAAAATAAAATAAATATAAAATCTCCAATCTCAAATTTACTTTCCCACCCCCAAACTTAAATCACACATTGTCCTCAAGGTGTGGAAAAGAAAATAAAGAAGTTAATAAAAATAGTAAAGCCTAAAATAAAACATAAAAAATATGCGAGTGAAAATAGAGGACAATACTTAAGAAAAATTAAAATAAGAACAGAAGGGAAAGAACACACCTTGGACGCCATCTGTTGTCAAGCCTGGGCAAGTGGAATGGACGCATGGGCAAGTTGTCAAGCATGAGTTGTTGTTGACTTGACATTTAAATTTTTTTTTTTATTTGGCTGTGTGATTGCATGTCACTTAATTTAGTTATATCAATCTATTGTGGTAAGCACTGGCGGATCCACAGAGGAGCAAAGAGGTGCAGTTGCACCTCTCCTCGCCGGAAACTTCCTGGGGATGTCAGAATTTGCCCCTTCGCTATTGCCCACCAATTGTTCGACTAAATGCCTCAAAGACGTTGTTTTGTTTGCTGCTGTGTGAGACTCTAAATATTTACCTTAGATTGTTGGGCTCGATCTCACGAGCATGTAGGAGAAAACGGTTCATCAATCGGAGCTCCACAACCAAAGTTATGAATTTTCGAAGTTTTTCTAGAATTAAAGTTAGAGTTGCAGAGGCTCTTCGAGGAAGAAGAAAGACTCTGCTTCTCACTTTTGATTTTTTTTTAAATGGTCCAATAGCAAGCTGACACATGTCCATTTCTAATTGGCCTAACTTAAAAAATTCATTAAAAACTCATATGTGTGCCAAAAAATTCACAAAAAATTACTCAGAATTTTTAATCACGTGTACTTTTATCTCTGACCTCCAAATCACATGTGCTTTTGGTTAGATTAATTGGTATTGACTTTTGTTAGATTAATTATGTAATTGACATGGATTTTATTCATATTTGATATTGATATTCCATACAGACTGTAATCAATTAGTAATACACGTAAAATTCTTATTTGTTTTAATTACGAATAACATTAGTATTGTTAAAATTCTAAGGGCATTTGGTTGTCTAAATTAATTTTTGAATTTTTAGCCTTTTTTTTAACACACTACATGGATATTAGACTTGAACCTTGGACCTTGCTTGAGTCCTTTGCGATTTTTTAGTCTTTTAAATCTTGCACCTCCCCTGAAAAATTCATGGATCCGTCACTGGTGGTAAGGTCTCATTCCCTATTGAGCGGTGGTTGCTCATCCCTCACCATGTTTAATTTTTTAGATGAATTAGTGGGCAAGACGAGAACTAAATCGATTGAGGATGCATTAGATGAGAGTAGTAGAGCTTTATTTATTTCTTGTAAAGTTGTAAGATTTCGGATCTATTTTTTTAAGAGAAGTTTATTTTAAATCCTATTTCAGCATCTTTTTATTTTATTTTAGTTTTTATTTTCTCACGCACTGGGCGCGGGGTTTCCACCGACCCCCGGATCCGGGGCGTGACAATCAGTGCCATCGATAAATTTCCAGAGGTCATGACCGACTAAAAAGGGTTTGAGCTGGCAGAGCCAAAGGAGATAGTTGGAGTTAGTAAGCTTGATAAAATGAGAAGAGTTGGGGCTAGGGAGGGAGATGGTGGATTCAGACGAAGCCATGAGGTGGACCTAAAGGAGAAGATGATCGAATAAGGGAGAGGGAGAAAACCTTAGGTTAGGCTGATACCATGTAGAGAATATATTTCCTTGTATTAAACTGATTATACAAAGTCCCTATTTATATTGATACAGAAAATCTACTTAAGGTAGGAAATAATATAGACATGAATATAATCCGATTTACAACAGAAATCTGATTTACAGCAGGAAAAGCTAATTGCTAGGAGGAGATTGTGAAGTTGACTTCCGTGTGTGCTAGAAAAGGAAAGCTGCTTTAACATTGGGACTCACAGGGGGAAGAGAGTGGCTAGAGTTTTTCCCAAAATTTTCCTCAACAAGTGTTAATTAGATAACAAAGCATGTTTAAAAGCTTTTTCCTATTTTTATGCTTTATAAAAGCTTTCCTAGTTTTCCTGTCTATGCTAGTCTTGTTATTATGGATGTTCAGCACATGGAGAAGAGAGAGAGGGGACATAGATTTATGCCATCCTTCGGATCTGCGGTCCCCCAACCTCAACACTACATGTGAATTTTATGTTGTTTCTGTTTCTTGCTTTCTTTTATGTCAACAACATTCCATGTGAGTGTAAATTAGTCTAAATTGGACCCATTGATGCTGATTGTGAGTTTAGGTTATATATATATATATATATATATATATATATATATAT